CCACAGACTATATACCAAAGTAATTCTTGATCAGTTAAAAAGTTACATATTTTTAAAAGTCAGAAAAAAATGTATATATATCAGATCATTTGAGGAATTACAACTTCTAAGCTTTAAAGCAATAGAAAAAAAATCATAAAGGAACAGTTCTTTTTCTGACAATGTAAAACTCCTACAAAACAGCAATCAAAACAGAATTGCAAACAGTTTAGAATGTTCATTATAACTAAAATCAGGGTTAACATTTAAGTTACACAAGAACTCTTTCACATGTGAAAGAACGATGTAACAACTCTAGTAAAGGAGCAAAGGATTTGATGCTTCCCACAAGAAAAAATGATAGGAAATGGTATGGGAAAAAATGGTCCTTGCAAATAAACGTTCAAATTAAAGCATCCTTGAGGTATCATTATGTATCTCCTAAATTAGCAAAATAATTTTGTTTTCAAAATAATAACCGCCAAAGCTGAGATGTTTACAGTGAAACCAACACACTCCTCCGTGGATGCTCCCCCTGTATACTGGACAGTTGACTTTACTATGGCTGCACTCGCATTCACGTCCATGCCAAAAAAGGTTTCAGGTACTCTTTCCCATGTATTAGTGTGTGTGCGCTACAGTAACCAAGCACCACGGACCGGGCGACTCAAATCACAGAAATTTACTGTCACACAATTCTGGAGGCTGAAGTCCAAGATCAAGATGTCAGCAGGATTGATTTCTCCTGAGGCCTCTCTCCTTGCCTTGCAGACAGCCATCTTCACCCTGCATCCTCACACGGTTGCCCCTTGGTTCATGTGTGTGTCCTTTCCTCTTGATAAGGACACCAGTCAGATTGGATGAGGATCCACCCACGTGACTTAGTAAACCTAATCACCTCCATAAAGTCTCTTTATCCAAGTGCAGTCACATTCTGGGGTCCTGGGGGTGAGGACCCAACATGGGAACGAGGGGAGGGGAACTGTTTGTCCTGGAATACTCTGTTAATGCCTCTCTGGTAATTTATCCTATGGAAGTGATTTCAGGAAAGCACATACAGAAAAAAAAACATTGGTAGTACTTCAATAATACCAAACATTTAAAAACAGCTGAAATATTCCTAGCAGAAGTTAAATAACTTATCTCCACTCAATAGACTATTTTGTAGCCATTACAATTTTTAAGAATGAAAACTATGTAAAAACATTAAAATTTTTTTTAACATATCATGAGTAAAGTAGACTACAAATACCCTATGATTGTGAAAAAAAATCTCCATGCACATGGAGAATTACTGGAAAAGAAAGGAGGAAAAAGTAATTTTCTGGTGGTGCACATATAGACAATTTGTTTTTTCAAACTATTTCTGCTTTTTTATTTTTGAGTTTCAAAAAGGAAAATTAGGTTAGGAGTAATGGGTGGTAAGATAGTACCAGACTTCTAGTGCCTTAAGTTAGAATTTTGGCCAAAAACAAGAATGAAGAAAAGTTGAGGCTTAATGAATTCCTGTGGCAACTCAGCAGTGGGGCGTTCGTGCCCGGGAAGGCTTGCGGGCGCCAGGTGCTCTGCTTGGCTGAGGATGACGACCCAGCCTGCCTTGGCACCCCCAAGGCGGGAGGCCTGGCGTGTGGAGAGAAGCAGTTTTGGCTCTCGGTGACCTCGGGCAATCCATCTCTTCTCTGACCCTCAGGCTCCTCTTCTTTAAGCTGCAGTTGTTGGAACGAGTCCCCACAAAGACCATCTTTCTGTATTGTTTTCATTCTCTGTTTTGTCCCAAATATGCCCAGAATAATTGTGCAGTATTTTCCTTGTACGTGACAATTATAAAGTATACTCTGGCCATGCTGTACCTTTTGCAAAGAGCCAGAACCAGGTACAAGGTCAGAGAAAGGAAAAAAGGTCAGCCACTTCCATCTTCTCAGCACCTGGTGACAAGACGCTGAACCAGAACTTCCCCCCAGACTTTGGCCTGGCCCCTGCCCCAGCTCAGTAGAGGTCAGCAGTCTCGGACTCTACCTTTCTTGAGGGAACCTCTGGGTGGGCCAAAGGGGAAATTTGGTATCTGATTTCCATGACTTCTGCCTCAGGCTTTCTTAGCCAAGGGAGTACGTAGAGAACTTTTAGAGGTGGACACCCACCCTGTCCCTGCCCGTCCGCCGCGGACTCCCACCCTGCCAGCACACAGCAGCTCTCTGCAAGGCTGGGTGCTTCCAGCAGGAAACCGATTTTAAGGATGTCATTGCCCTGGAGAAAAGCAAACAGAAGAGGGGGGTGAGAGGAGCAGTGGCTGTAGGCCTTGACAGAACCCCTGTCTCTTCCTCACGCTGGAAAAATCCGTCACTCCCTTTCTAGGAGACTTTCGGGCCCCTAAAGGGAGGGTTCATGAGTAAACAGAATAATAAAGGTGGCCTAGCAAAGAAGGTATTGCCCTGCAGTGTTTGGATGCTGAGCCTTTTATCTGTACGTTTTATCAAACATTTGCCTGGAGCATCCTGGCACACATTCTGGTCCCTCCTAGAGGGCTAGGTGGAGGATTCTTTTTAAGGGTGAACCGAACAATAACACGCACAGTAACTCAGGTGCCCCATGTGTGTGTGCGCACATGCGTGCGGGGAGGCAGTGGCCTACAGGGAAAGGGCGAGAGCGTTAGAATTACTCATTCATTTGCGGATTCATCCCACACGTCTTGCCAAGCCCCTAGCATGTGGCCAACACTATTCTGGCCATCAGGGATGCAGGGGTAAACAAAGAGAAAGCTTTGTTCTAGAGGAGGCCACATTCTGGAGGCGAACAAACAGTAGACAAGTCCGGGATGAGGGCTCGGGATGAGGGCTGCTAGTCCAGCGCACCAGTTAGCAGCCCCGTGACACTCGGCACATGACTGTGACCTCACTGGACGGGTTTCTTCATCCCTCAAATGAGATAATAACGGTCTTAAAGGGATGCTTTAAGGTTGAGACAGAGTGTTCACTGGCACGTGGGCAGCCCTCCGTAAGTGTAGATATGGTGGGGGGGGGCAGCACCCGCAGGGGCTCAGGATTCTTGTTTCCCAGCTATGAAGCAGGAGGAGGAGGAAGGAAGCTGGAAGGCAAGAAGATACGCAGAACCCCTCAGCAACTCCCGGTGGGGAGTGTTGAAAGCACCGTGCCCCTTGCAGCAGCAAAGCTGGTCCTTCCTACCACTTTCCTCTCCTCTCATCTAGCCTCTAAAAACACAAACAAAAGCTCCTAAATTGAGTTCAACCAAAGTGTCTTCCTGAGCCAAAGGTGGGGGAGCCGCGTGTGCTGGGGCTGACAGAGTGAGAGGCCCAGGGTTGGCAGAGACTCTGCGGTTCTAGAATCCAGCTCTATTCAGATTCTCTGCAGAGATAACATTATCATGTACTTGCGCCATTTACAAAAATGTGACAGTGTTCAATAATGTAGCTTCCTTCAGCCATGTAGCAAATGTTGATTAAACTGGATACCGGACGAGAAGGAGGATCAAACCTCTGTGCCCTCAGGAAGCCCCCAGTCCGGCGGGGGAGATAGGCTTACAGATGACGACCTCATGAGGAGCATGTAGTCCACGGAGTGCCACAGAGTGGAGGAAGGAGGAATCAGCTTGGCCGAGAGATTTAGGGAGAACGTCATCCCAAAGATGGCCTTGGAGTGGACGTGTATGTTGGTTTTAAAGGACCACTAGGTTGCAGGAAAGACAGATGCTCTCTGACAGTGGGCAGTGATTATTGTTCCCAGAACTGCTTTCGTTTTCATTCTTGAAGTCGGTGGACACAGTAGCCTGTCCTCCTTGTCACAGAACATGTGGAAGGACCACACTGTGTTCAATTGTGTAACATAGTTGGTCTACACATTAGTTAATTGGCTTTGAAATGCCACATTCTTCCGGAGGTGCCTACAACCAAAACTACTAAAAGTGCACAGTAACATTAAGAAGAACCGTCAAGAAGCTGTTCTGTGACACCCCGATGTAGATGAGGGGCTCGGAGTTCTGAGTGGGATTAATGTTGACTTGATTCCTTACAAAAAATACAGACAATAATATTAAATGGAAAAGCATAAGCAGAGTGTCAAAGCCATGGAAAACCATACAGAGACTAAGCAGATGAGGGCAGAAACGCAGAGGATATCCAAGCTGAAAGAGCCTGTAAAACAGGCCCCGAAGCTATATAAAAATGTCTTAAAGGGGCGCCTGGGTGGCTCAGTCGGTTGAGCTTCTGACTCTTGATTTCAGCTCAGGTCATGATCTCAGGGTCATGAGATCGAACCCTACATTGGGCTCTGTGCTCAGTGTGGAGCCTGCTTGAAGATTCTGTCCCTTTTCCTGCTTGTGGGCTTGCACGCACAAGCTAAGCTCTCTGTCTCTCTCTAAAATAAATCCTTTTTTAAAAAGTCTTAAAAAGGTAAATTTGGTACTGAGCTTTCTAGAGGCTTAAGCAAGAACAGCCTACAGCCCTCCTGTCCGTTACCCTATTTACATCAGCGGGGTTGACGGATGTATTTTCTCAGTGGAGTAGAACAAAGGTTTTCCTTTTCTGGAGCGGATTTTTTTCATGTGGATCTACGTACAGGAGACATTTGGGGCTCAAGGACATGGACTGTGGGGCAGCACCAGTGAGATGGTAAATGCCACTGTTGAAAGCCCAGCTCCTGTCCTGGCTCCCTGACCTGCCACGATGTGAGGCCAAGTCCTTACACCTTCCCTCACCTGTGACTGCTCGGGTTGAATGGGGAGGCGTGCACACACGTGGCAGTTTCTGGCACTCAGTATTTGGTAGCTGTCGCCATGACTCGGGGTTCTTGGTACGGGGCTGTGTGTGTGATCCCATGTGCGTGATGGCAGACACTCAGTCCACGCGTGTGCTCTTTTCGGCGCGAGCACGGTGAACCCGGGCGGCAGGGGTTAGGGTGGCGAAGGCGGAAAGGCAGTGGGTAGCGAGCTGCGGAGGGTGTGCGTGATGAGTTCGCTGGCGAGAACTAAGCAAGGCCACGCTCATGTTTTGCCTGTCTCCTTTCTTAAAGGTGAATGACTCAAACTGTGACCAAGAGCTTCTGTCCCTGCTCCTGGATGCCAGGCTGCTGGTGAAGTGCATCTCCACTCCCTTCTACCCACATATCATTGAGCACCTCTTGGCCAGCCCGCGGCAAGGGCCCCGGGATGCCGAGGGGCTGGCCAGACACCTGCGGGAGGCCGGCCATGAAGCCGAAGCGGGGTCGCTCCTTCTGGCCGTGAGGGGGACGCACCGGGCCTTGCGAACCTTCAGCGCGGCGCTGAGCGCAGGGCAGCACTGGGTGTGAGCCCGGCCCGGCCCTGCGTGGCCACGGTTCCTCGGCCACCCGGTGGGAAGGAGCCCCGGAGCCAAATGTTGTTCCACCGGCATCATGCATACCTGTCGACTGTTCTCAGTGGTTGCAACAAACTGCGAATAAAGCTGTACATAAGTGACGAGCCTCATTTACGCTTTTTCTTTCTTGCGGTGGCTGGTTAACGTACTCATTGACTCAGAGACTTTTCATCTTTTACTTTGAACTGCCTTTTCTGGATAGAGCACAGTGAATAAAGACATGTTGGATGTGGTGGTGGGGAGGGCTGCATTTGAAAGGGAGAGTGTGTGTGGAATGGTTGGTGGTTGGAGCGGATGTCCTAGGACGGAGGAAGGACGTCTCGAGTTAGTGACGCAGTTTTGCTCAAAGCACTCAACCTCTCTGAACCTTAGTCAGTGTAAAACGAGGGTTGTATTGTTTATGTCACAGGTTGTTGAGTTACGTGAGGTTGTGTGTGTGAGGCCCTGTGAGATACATAGTGAGGCCCAGGAAATGTTACCTTCTCCCTGCTCGTTAGTGTTACACTATGTGAATCACAACTGTGAGGCCACAGCTGGGTCCGTGTGAGCACATGAGGTACCTACCGAATCGGGGGTCCCCACACTCGTCAACATCACATACTAAGCTTGGCAGAGTTGCATATCTGGAATCTGGATAACCAGGTGGGCAGGCTAACGGAGTCGCTGTGGGCACTTACCCTGTTGAGGGGTCACTAATTTGCACGTAGCCCATCGTAGCAAGGGTGTGGATGGCAACGCCCTCAGGAAAACCAACACAGAAGGGGTGTTTCCTGCGCAGGGGCACAAGGACCCCGATGCATGACTCGCTGGCACTTGCTCCCACGGCAGAAGTGGGTGCCTGAAGGTGGAGGCTCAGAGTGGAAGTTCTGGACTTTGCTCTCGTGAGACCCTCACACCAGATTCAAGCCACAGCAGCGGTCTGGGCAGTAGCTGGTCGGGCCCACCCTCTATGAATAACATCGCTTTACCTTACCGTCCATGCCATCGTCCTCATCACTGGCTTCACCTCATTTCTACTCCTATGGGTGCAACTACAGAGTGCTCGAACAACAAAAAAAGAAGTTTTCGTCATCTTTGGGTAAGATTTACCGGCTTCATAGCCCACTCCCCTGACTTCTGACCAGTTGTCTACCCCTGGACCGAGTTCCTTGTCCAAACCTTTGGTAGCGCCTAGAGTTTGGGAATGGCTTACATAAGCCTCTCGAATGCTTTCAGAGGAAAGGGGTCAACATTTTTCTCCCCAGTTAGGTAACACCTGTGCAGAGAGACCCACAGGCCAGAAAGGCCTTCCTAGAACTCTGAGGGCACCAGCTGTACCAGATGGCATTGATCGAGCCACTTCCATGAGGCATGCCTACTGGTCACTTGGGTTTTCTCGAACCTTACAGCTACCTTCTGTCATTTCAGGCAACTGAAAAAAAAGTGGGCAGTATTCTGAGATAACAGAGTCCATTTTAATGGGATCCATCCAGAAATGTTTTTCTTCAAACTGCAGAATTATAGGCCCTAGACACCAATATAACACCATGACTCTCTAGATAAATAAACCGAGGGCCAGAGGGCTGAAGTGACTTGTTCAAGGCCAGCAGTGAATTATGGGTCTCTGCTGTGCAATGCTTCTGTGGAAGGGAGTCCTTCATCTAAACTACGTTGCTCTGATCCGACTCATGTCCTCACCAGAAACCAAATTTGCAAAGTTTGAGCAGTTTCTATGGGGAGGCGGGGGGAGGAATACGTTCCAGATTCATTCCAACTGCGTACTCTAGAAGACTGAGTTGGTCTTTATGTTGGTATTTAGAATGTTGACCATAAATGTTAAAGATGTGAGATAATCTGATGTCTTTCTTGCTGTAAAAAGCTCCTAACAGTTACCTCAAACCTGTCTCTTCGAAAACAAAGCAGAATAAGAAAGGGCTGCACTGGTCCTCAGTCACACTCAAACTTCATAGCTTGGTTTGCCTGGAAGGTGGGCCCGAGGGTGGGCAGAGCAGGGAGTGAGCTCTGGTATGTGACGGCAGGTCACCTCATCTCTCTGAGTCTCGCGTTCTTATGCGGAAGGAGGGCTAATAATGCCTTCCGATATTTGCAGTTCAACCAGGTCAGGCTGCTGGATCCCTGCCTCCCGGCATGCTCTGCGCCCTACTGGATCCCATGTCGGCCCCGGGACTCCTCTCTCTCACTGGTTCCGGGCCCTGCTTCAGCTGAGGGAATTCCCCACCCCAAACATTGACCCCAAGCTTGAAATGCATTAACTCATTTCATCATCGATAACCTCATAAGGAAACGAGGTGCAGAGAGAGTAAGTAGTTTGCCCAATACAAAGCTAGAAGTAATGGAACTGTCGGGCAGTGGGAGGCCGTCTGACTCAGAACCTTGGCCACGTGCTGCATGCACTTCCGTCCTCATGGCACCTCCTCCCGCTGCCGAGGGACCTGGGTGAATTTCCCGGCGGGCATCTGAATGGCCCTATGCTATATTTTCCATCTTTCTTTTCCATTCATGAGCTGATAATATGGCAAAGGGGGCTCTGAAATGTTGTTCAAGTCTTTCCAACTGCCTGCTGGTATCCCAGCCTGTTCCAAGAGCTCAGACACTGAAATGTCCAGACCCCCCTGCTTCCCACGCAATACCCAGGGCCTTCCTTCAAACCTTCCCTAGCATTCTACGTTTCCCAAAATGTGCCCATGGCTTTGACCACCATGAATGTTCTCTGTAGACAATTACAGCATCACCTAGCTTAGTAAAAAGAGGACGAGTCAAGGACCTGAAGTGCTAATATCCACTTGGAAGATCGTCAGGACCTGTGGTTAACGATCATAGCTGTGTATTAGAATCACCTGAGGAAAATTTAAAACCTACTGATGCTGAGCTCCCCCCAACCCCTGCACCTTGACCAATGAGAATTATCTAGGGGTGAGGCCTCAAGTCATGCTAAACCACAGCCAGCCGGGGAACGGATTGATGTCACATGGCTCCTTGTCTTTTGTTGGCCATGTTTCTGGCCACTTGCCTTTCACTCAGAAGCAGACAAGGAATGTGACAGGCTCTAACCCCAGCCTGTCTGTCCGTCCAGCCCCACTGTGGAAAGGTGGGCCAGGACTGGAGGGGCTGGAGCTCCTGGTCGGGGAGGGCCGGCCACGGCCTACACATTCCCCAGCCCTCACATGCCAGGGTGAGCAGGAGCCGCCTGTAAACGGGAGAGATTTAACAGAGGAATGAAAAGGCCCCGCGCTTATTTAACCCGCAGCTAAATTTAGATCTGGTGTGGAGGCCGCCTGAGTCAGCTGGCTCCGTGTCTGAAAGGCACTGCCTGTGGGACGCTAAGCTTCCCCTTGCAAACTGGGTCTTGTCTTTTTGGAAAGAAAACTCATTACGGTAAATGTAGCAGGAGGGCATTCAAATGCTTCTCCGCCCTATTCTTTGGAGAGAGGCTGCATCTTGCTCGGGTTCACTATAAACACAGCAGCTCTGTGCTCTCATTGAGCTCCAACAGTTGGGGCTCGTATCTCTTCTTAGTAACTTTAAACTTATTATCAACCGGAGATGGCTTAGAAAATGAGAAAATAGGAAAATAGACTCCCGGGTATCCAGGGCTTGAAGAGAAGAAAAGGGAGCGTCTTGTGTGAGCAGCTATGCCGTGGGCTCTCTCCCCACCGACCATGGGAGACGAGAAGCAAGGCTTGGTCTCCCGCGGTCCTGATGGCGCTCGAGACTGACACTGCTGGCCCCGGAGCTGTGGCGTGGGGACCTCACTCAGCGCTGGGAGCCAGCAGGGAGCAGAGCAGACTGGCCGGACTACAACGCAAACTCGGTTCTGACGGTGGTGGTGAAGGACTGGCATGTGAGTCTCTGCCCCGCCCCCCCCGCCCCCTGGTGGTGAGTTCTGGGAGGGCACCTCAGGGCACAAGGGGCAGACCTCAGAGACCAAGGCCTCCACAAGGGCAGCAAGGGAAGCCGTAGGAGGTGTGACAGAGATGGCCCTGGAGGGGTTCTAGCGGCAGGGCTCTCCCGCCAAGGGGAAGGGCCTGGATTGGCATTTTCACCCAGCGGGAGGCAGCCCTTCGCCCGATGGAAGTCAGGTCCTGACGAGCCACAGGCCTCAGCCACGCTGATGATCCTGGGCTAAAGCCGGGATCTGGGTTGGAGGGCCGGCCTGGCTAATCTGTGACTCTGGGCAACGTCACTTGGTGGCTTTCTCTGTGTCCTGATGATACCACTCCGCTCTGGGAAGGCCCGGCTTCAGCAGGGGAGTGCTCCCCGTGGGGCTTTGGGATGGGGAGGGTGTGCGGGAGGAGGGCCGGGCCGGAGAGGACCATCTGCACGGGCGGGGGCAGGAGTGGTCTCTGAGACCCCTGCTGACCTAGACAGAAGCGCCACACAAATCCCGCTCGTCTCTCTCTTGGAAAAGAGATTGTCTCTTCCGGGCACATGAAGGTGTCCAGGGTTATGTCTTCGATGCTGCCTGTAGCACCCAGTGCTCCCCTTCCCGTGCTTGCTTCCCTTGCCTCCCTTCTCCAAGTGAGCCCTACTGTTTACATCTTCTTCCCCGGAGCCGGACAAGGCCTCTCCTGTCCTTCGATAGACTCGCTTGTACCCATTCTTTTTGACTCCTTTGTTTTAGCTAGAAGAATTTTGCTCTTTGCTACTACCAGCAATAAAAGTAACGTAAGGAACACTTTACCGAGCACCTGTGTGCGTGCAAGATCTCTCATATTCGTTCACACTCCGCCATGAACCGCTCCGGCAAAGCAAGTCGATGCTGTCCCCCATTTATGCTCGAGAAGAGCAACTCAGAGGGGTTAACTGACTTGCCCAAGGTCGTCCTGTCAGGAAGGGTCAGGAGCAGTCATACCGGTCTGATTCTGAAGCCTAACACTTGTGTGAGTCCATACTCCTTGCGAATTCCGGCTTCCCGGGCCCTGCTAATAGTCGCAGTGGGCACGTGCTTTGATTCCGGGGGCCCACCGCAGCCGGAGGGTCTCCTTGTGTCAAAGAGATGATCCAAAATGCATCCAGGATCCGTTGGGCAACAAACAGGTTCTCTGAGCCCCTTTGTGTTCGCTTCTTATTAAAGTGGAAGCTTTTCTCCTCCTGTCCGAGAGAAGGATTT